AAATTTTTATTGTTATGTTAATCACCATACATCATTAGTTTTTGATGTAGTGTTCCATGATTCATTGTTTGTGTTTATGTTAAATTTAGTTATATGTCATGATCTTATGTTAAATCTATAGCCTCAACATTATTATGACTATTGAATATTACTCATCTCTTTTCTTGTACTGGACTTTTTGTTTTCCTTAGAGTTAATAATTAATTTGTTTTTCAACTACTTAGCTTTCTCTGTATCTACCACTAATATGGCCCAAAGGCTCCACTGCAAGTCTATGTCTCCTCTCAGAACATGCAAACAAATCAAATAGTCTATTTTAATTTCTTGGAGACCTCTCCCCTGGATTTCTCTAGCGTTTTCCAGTCTGAACTACACAGCTGTCATTTTGGGACTTCTCATTTTCTGTCCCATTTCCTGACTTTTATGTCTTCCTCTTTCTTGTTTCCCTGCCTCCTTTTGGTAGAACCCATCTTCTAGTAGCTTCCTGAGAAAGAGTTCACAAGGCAAATTCTACCCTTACCCCTGGATTGATAGTTTGGGCATAGAATTTTAGTTTGTAAAACTAAAAATAGATGTTGCTCTATTGTTTTTTAGTTTTCGGTGTTTCTGTTTAGAAATTCAAGGCCATTATGATTTTTATTCTTGGCACATGATCTTTTTTTTCTTCTTGAGAAGGTACTTGGATCTTCCCTTGTCCCAGGTATTCTGAAATTTTATAATATTTAATAACTATCCTGGTGGTTTCTCATGCCAAAAATATTGGTGTTATCTTTACCTCTTTTTTTTCCCCTCTTATCCTCATATTAGTCCATCAACAAATTCAGCACTTTTAATTACTTCCAGTTCCACTATTCTGGACTAAGCCACATCTTTTGTCTCATTTTGTAAGGACAAAGACTTCGCTTTATTCTGCTGCTGCTGCCCCAACAGGTAAAAGAGATTCTGACACATACCCCTATGAAGTCGATACACATAGAGTGGGTGATTATAGCCCTTATAAATGATGACACAGAACTTAATCAAAGTAGGTAAGCAACTTGATTTAAGAATATGAAAAATTTCAAGAGAATAAAAACGTTTTCTAGCAACAGATGGAGGCATTCTCCCCTTTCTCTCCTGTGAAGTTGCCCAAAACCAATAAGGAAACTGAAAAATAAAAATATATAGTCCATTTTCTGTGAACTAGAAGACAACTGAATTCCCAAACCCCAACACACTAGGAAGAGCTGCCAAAAGCTATCAGGATGACCCAGGCAGCCTTACAAGAGGGAAGAGGCTGAGATGATGCCTGGTGGTGAATACTGTAGAAGAAACCAACAAAGCGTATTTCTTAATTAAAATATACTTTACACACCTTTTGGGGCAAAAAGGAAAACCCCGTTCGCAATAGTGTGGCTATGTCACACAGGTTGGCAGCAGCAGCTTCTCAGGGTCTTGCTGGAGCACAAGAAATAGACGAAGAGAGGTTGAATGAGAAGTCACACAGATAAGCCACCTTGAAGGAGAAAAAAAATCTGGCTGTTCTCAAATTTCTCCAAAGCAATATTCATCAGTAAAACAATGGAGCAATGCCTACAAGAGTTTTAAGAAAGAACTTTATACCCAGATGTTTCAGTCAAGTTTCTTAATTGCAAACCAAGAGTCACACTTTTTCTGTAAAGGGCCAGAGAGTGAAAATTTTAGGCTTTCTGGGCTATATGGTTTCTGTCACAAATACTCAACTCTGTCATTTAGCTCTAAAGCAACTATAGATAATAAATGGGTGTGGTTGTGTTCCAATACAATTTTATTCATGAATAATGAAATCTGAATTTCATAAAAATTTCATGTTAAGAATACTAAATATTCTTAATTTTTAAAAACCATTTAATAATGGGTCAGATATGGCCCATTTGGTTATGGTTTGCAGCATCTTGGTTGCAAACAATAGAAACTGACTGACTTGATTAAGTAGGAAAATGATAAGTTTTTTGGTTTTTTTTAAAGAATTTTGGTTAGCTCACAGAATTGTTGGAAGACTGGCAAACCAAAAGGCTAAGCTTCGAGGAGCACTTTCTAGTATCATGCCTTAGAACTGACCTGAAGAGAAGGGGGTGCCTGGGTGGCCCAGTTGGTTAATCATCTGCCTTCTGCTCAGGTCATGATCCCAGGGTCCTGGGATCGAGCCCTGCAATCGGGCTCCCTGCTCCGTGGGAAGTCTGCTTCTCCCTCTCCAGCTGCCTCCTGCTTGTGTTTCCTCTCTCGCTGTCTCTCTCTGTCAAATAAATAAATAAAATCTTAAAAAAAAGAAAAGAACTGATCTGAAGAGGAAGCCATCCATTATCACCGTACTGCCACACAATGCACTAGAGGAAAGTGCTGGGCCTCTATGGCCCATTGATGTCACTTCTGTACCAAGGACACTGGGAAATGACTGCCCCTGGGGAAAGGCAGAAACAATGTCCCCACCCACACCAAAAGAGCAACAAAGAGTTCTTCATGGGGTCTCCTCAAGTTGTTGCATCTGAAACAGAAATCTCAGAAACATCTGATTGAAGAAAGCTAGGTTATATGCCCTTCCATAGAAAGCTAGGGAAGTTTTTGGGTTTTGCTTTAGTGAGGCAAGACCAATAAAGCCAAACTTTCTCATTTGTTAAGAGAGTGTTCAAATGGTACTAGACTGCCAAACAAATACCATTTGTGTATAAAAGCAGCAAACACTTCCTAACATACAAGAACTCAGAAAGTGAGCCATTCTTGTAGAATCTACTAAAAGACCACTTATGGCAAACTAGATGAACAGGAGGAAAAACTGGCAATGTACATTGAATGTTTAACTGTAAGATAAAAACTAAGGTAAGTGTGAGGATAATTGCCATAGAACAGAATGTAAATATTAAGTCCTGACTTTGAAAAAAAGGAAGGAGGGAGAAGGTAAATAGTGTAAATATGATATCTTCATCTTTAAAGGCTGGGGTGGAGGCGTAAAAGGTACATAAAGCTGATAAATCTATTAATAGAATTAAAATCATATTTCACAAAAAACTCAAGATAACATCAAACAAAATAAGGTGGCAGATGAGAGAGGACAAGGATATGTACTACATAAATAGTATGTTCACACACTATATATATATATATTTATACTACGAATGTAGTATATATATGCTATATATTATATACATACTAATATACTCTTCATATAGTATAAATATTCGTATGCTGTTTTCATATAGTACATAGTATATATATAGTACACATACATAGTATATAGTAGGATAGTGTATATATTCATAGAGTGTAAGTATACTACATTGTGTTCAAAGAAGAAAATAATAAATACTGTTTAAAAGTCAAAGGTTATAACATATAAAGTTATAGGGGAAAAGATAATAAATTATCAGAGGAATCTCTTCTGGTTTTCTTCCATATTGTGTTGTCCATTTGGTCTCCATTAATCACAAGGCCGAACTAGCAGCCAAAATTGTTTACATCTCCTCTGTGATCCTAGCTTTTGCAACTAACAAAGCCTCCAACCACAGTCCCCAGCATTTGTGTTTCAATTCCTCTCCAATAGGGGACATCCCCACCTAAAAACTTCCCACAACTATAGCAATAAAGGCCTAGGGTTCCCCTCACTCTTGCCTCCTGACCAACCTGGGTGCTTCCCCATGTGGCCCGTTGTGGCATGGTATGTCCCCTTCTCTTAGTAAATGTAATTAATGCTTTCCAAAAGCAGTTGTCTCATGTCTGTTAACTTACCATACCTGATTAAAACAAATCCCAGGTACAAGTTTTAGAACAGAAACAAAAACAGAGCAAGAAAACATTACATCATGAAAAGTTTTTAAAATAAGAGCCCAACATTCATGACAACCTAAATATGTCACATTAATAAATGCAAACGGACTCAACTCACCTATTAAAACAAAAAGATTTTCAGAAGGGTTCACAAACTGTAGTATGCAAGATACACCTAAAATAAATATCATATATTACCTGCAAGCTAACACTAAACCCAGGAAACTCGTAAGAATACCACTGTAGATTAGAGCGGGGTGGATGGGGGGTGGTGGAGCTATGGGGAGCAGCTACTGAACGGAACGATGCTTTTCACATCTTGCCCCATGTTCACACACTCACCTCAATTCCCACTGCTCTCATGTTCCTCACTAAATCTGCTTCAGCCATGCTGGTCTCTGCCAGTTCTAGAACATTCCAGGCATATTTCCTATCTGAGGGCCTTTGCACATGCTGTTTCTGCCATCCGATATGCTTTTCCACCCAAGAGTCACATGGCTCATCCTCCCAACTCCTTTGGGTCATTAC